GCCAAAAACTACCTTCAGTATCCATTTTATCCGGCTCCAGTAGGCCTCCGTTTACTTTGATCTTGTTATATATCACAAAAGCCCTAAGAGTTTCCGATAGTCTTCCAAGTTCATATTTACATTTATTCACAACAGTTTGCAAACAAATTGCGTAACTCGGCGAACAGGCAAAATGGAATTCAATTCACCAGCGCCACGAGAACCGATTTTCAATATTTTGACAACAGTTTTATCTATTTCCACAACACTGGACGGATACCGAGCTGTTCGTTTAGGCAAAGCAGTTTGTATGAACACCACAAATATTTCCAGGGCGAAATACGCTATCAACTTCACAACGAGAGATAGCGATATTTCGGAATTTTCAAAAATGAGTGAATATTTAAGCAAATTACCGTCATTGGATATAATGTTAACACATGCCAATTTTAGATTTTTGTTTCATCTTTCACGGCATAAATTTTCGTGTAAAACTTATTCAGCTAGACAAAGAAATGAAAAAGTCTCTCTGGAGGCGACTATCGTTCAGGTCTACCGCCCTAGATGAACAAGTCCATCTTTCAGTTCAAATGTTTCATTGTACGGGTCAATGATTGTTTAAATTTTGAAAGATTTTTTAATTGGTTGTAGCACTAACTTGTGAAAAATCAGTTAACCATATTTATTTGGAGCAAACGTGGACTGGACATTCAAATTTTTATTATTCTTATAATGGAGGTGGTATATGAGTGTATTTGAATATATTAATCAGCATTGATTGCATACGTATTGTGTATATTTATGTAGAAATTTATGTATCTGTAGCTGCAGAAGTTTAACCGCATTTATAGTTTTGTGTGCATTTTATTTACCTTCCACATTTGCCATAACTTGTTGCTTTATAAGCTTTTTCAGAGCAATTCTTCATCCAACAAATATAGGCTATTTTTACTCTGGAATGTTTCTATCAAGTCATCGTGCAGTACTCATACTAAAGAAAAGATCAGAATATTCTTCATTCTCTGTCTAAACAGCTTTCATCTCTTTTATTAAATCATTCTTGTGGCTAATCCCTCGAATTCATTGAGGCTATCAGCATCCTGCTCGGAGGAAAAAAATTTCTGCGATAATCTAAATGGAGCCGCACTATAGGTATGTAATGAGGCACAAATTCTTCTGGTTTTTTGCGTGGCAAGGCGGGTACAATCCAAAGGTATCGCTACGATACCGTATGTAGTCTACCGTGACTACAATCTTCAGATTCCTAGCTTTCTTGGATGCTCTTAATGAAAGACCGCCATGGACGTTCGAAGCCGTCAGTCAGTTGACAAGACACGATAATTTTCCATGTGGAGTGGTAGGTCTCATATATGTGCCCACCCAAACCCTTCTCTTATATCGCTTCTTAACTTGGCATTCCCCTTTGATCCTGTAATTTTAAAATCTTCAGCAAATATAAGGCTTGATGAGCATAACTCTTCTGAAAGATCACTGCTGTAGTGAAAGAATAATAGTGGAAACAGAACGGAACCTTATTGCATCTCATTAACAATCCATCCTTCAAGCGATTCTGTTGCCAATACTGTCCTGGAACGTTCTCCCGGTGATAAAGCCTACCAACGTCCTGTACATTGTACCTCTTATTTTTGTAGCATCCAGCTTGGTTTAAAGTAAATGACAATACACTTAGTTAAATGATTTAGTATATTTCAGATAGCGAAGCTATAATTTCTTCCCCGCATCCAGTTCGTCTGTGACCTCAGTAAAGAAGTGCAACAATGTTGTGAAGCACGATTAACCACTCACAAACATGCCACGCCGCAGTCAACAGTTACTACTGATTGAGCTAATTGTCTAAATGAAATTTACTGTTTCCTTGCAGAGTGTTGCTTAAGGCTTACCGGACGGTAGTTCTCAGCTGTATTCTTGACTCTTTCTTGTGGAGAGTAATAACGGTGTCAGTGTTCTGATGTCTTGGTAGAATGACCTGATGCCAAAAGGTAACGTTCAAGCATGTCCCCCAAGTTTGGATGAAATACGACGTTGTTCAGCTCCATTCTAGTTCACTTCACTAGAATGGCACTGGGTGTAAACTTAACCCCGTAAATGCTCCATAGTTTTAGCTATGGTTGAATCTAATTTTAGCAACTCATCCAGTAGAGTACATACATTCGAATTGAAATGAGTATCAGTTTCACAATCCTGCTTACTAACAACTAAATTAACCTATAAATTGTTTACACTTATCATACGAGAAGGTTTATTTCCTCTCGCATGAGACTCCTTCGTTGAGTCCTGACTTGAGATAGATATCTTCTACTGTCTTTGAAGTGCTAAATGTAAAATCTGTGTAAGGGTCCTTGTTCAGATTAGTTACTCGTGTATATTGAAGGTTGCGCAAAACTCGTCTAACCAAAAGCTAGAAATCGAAAAGGAATTAGAGTAAATTGCAAAGGAGCGAAAGCGTTTTTTATAGATGGGAAAGCAAATGTACAAGAATACTGTATATGAAAAACATGAGTTTGTTAGTTTATCTAGGGTCACTGTGTTCAGTGACTTACAGATGAAAGTCGCGGGGGTTCTCGTTACACAGATTTTTTAGATCTTCGCGGTAGTTTGATGATGCTTTGGATACTTGTACTGAAGGGTAAATTATCCGAAATAGACCAAAATTAAACATGATTAGAGTACTGAGAACGGACTTAGTATCAGGAAAATCAGAAATTATTTAATCAACTCATCTGGAGTGTAAAGTAACATTATACAAACTGTTTGCCTTATGTGATCAAACATAATGACGCAAGATGCGCCTAATTTGTTACCACGATGATACAAATCTTCTGCAGATTCCAAACAAGTGCCCCAATTTCCAACCAGTTTTCTTAAAACGCAGCCAGTCATTAGATGAATTACATTGTGACAACGCTTAAGGAACTTGTTGACACCTCTGTCCAATTCATCCTATGTGCAGAGATTCAATATCAAACACTTCAAAAATTCAAAGCTTTAACAGATAAAAGTGTACAAAACAGCAAATTTTTCTTCTTTTCTCCAGATTGATAAGAAATCGGTAGTTGTATTTTCACTTATCCATGTAATGCACTAAAGTTTGATACGTTCTCTATAGTATCCAAGTTCTCCTGCGCTAACGTAAATCTTTAAACTCTGCAAAAATTCTGGATTCTATTCTGTTTAAAATAATCTAAACGTAAAGCCTGTTTTAATGCCATCTGTCTGGTCTGGTAGCTCGCGTATATAGAATTTCACATATAACTACTCAAGCCCAAAATCAATATTCAAAAACCGGAACATATTGCAACCCACCAAAAACGTATTTTAATAGACGAAAAAGATGTCTTCGGTCCAGTTGCATTTATTGGTACCACTTATACTCGAGCGACGGTTTTGGTTCTTGTATTTTGATTGCCCCTTTTGATGGAAGAGTAGAGATAGCGTTTATTTTATCTATAATCACGACACTTCACTAATTCGATCGGTGCTACATTGTGGTGTAGATAAACGATATTCACTACCGGAAAATAAAAAGTGTGTCAATGGTAAACTTGCCATATTCACTATCCCCGGGTATTGGAAAAATTGAGGCTCTTTAGGTTACAACGAATGCGACATGCTTTACACTTGTCAGTGAATAGAATTTGAAAAATCTAATGTCTTTCGAGGCATTTAGTGGGTTTGGTCGGGCTGTTTTCTGATCCCGGCACCTAAACCCTCACTAGCGCATTTGGTTGCCTAGTTCGTGTCAGGAATCCTGGCTCTTCCACTGTTTGCTCACACAAAATGGTGTTCACGAACCCGTTTTGGTAATTGTTTGAACATATTAAACATCTAGATTGATAAATTATTGAAAATCGGTTCTCATAGCTCGGCCATTTCACAAGCACTGATGATGTCACCTCTGCTGGTGATGAAACATTTGCAAACAAGTTGCCAAGCTCGGCAAACAGGTGAAATGAAAACATGTAGATTGTTACACAGTACATAAAATGAGGTAGGAGAAACCGGTGTTTTATTCATAAACTTTACACAAGAGATTGACTTAGATTCGGAGAAAACGCCGAGCTTGATGAATGCTATGGAAGGTTTCATTCGTTTCGGATTTGCCAAAGTATTCTCCTTAACCAGTAAGGAAATGTAAACTGACTTCTCCTTAGACGCGATCTTTAAAATATCTCCTCTGCACTGAATCAGTTAAATAACTGAGAGTTTTAAATACCAACTGCATGCAAACATAAATCTTTTGCTTCATTCTTTCTGCAAACCTTTCCTGTCCTATCTTCTAGAAAGCCGATTACAATACTCATTACTTCACTTAAAAGTGCAGCTACTGTACCCATGGCTGAAACAAATCAGGCTATTCATGGGGAAGGTATTCGGCCATGTGTAGAGGCTGAGGACGCCAATTATCCGTTTATAAAATCAGTAACCTAACAATTGAGCTTAGTGGTATTGGTTGCTGTTTTGTGATTGTTTATTTGGAAAGATTAGACAAAACAAATCAAATATTAACACGAGTTTGTTGTCATAAGCTAGCCACGGTGTAATTCGCAGGAATTCGTCTGTGTAACGAGCCCGGTGTGTGCTCCAAAACAATTAGTTTGGGTGCTTAATCTTCCTTGAACCACCACCCATACCACTCTACACTTTGAGTTGTACAGAGGATTGAATGGAGAAAAGAACAAGTATGTAATCTCAAATGGGAATTCGTCGTGTATATAGCAAATGAAGCGTGAACTGAAAAGCTCGGAAGAACTGGGCAGCTGTTTCGACCTGTTTGGGTCTAATCAGCAGTGCGAATCCATCAACCCGACTGGGGATCGAACCCGGGACTTCCCAATTGAAATTTAACCAAATCCTCCATTACTCACATGAAATTGTGTAATCATTGTAAATCTCACGTGTGGTGACATAAAAAATCCATTATCTGTTGTGCGAGTTTTTCTCCCTGAAACTTCGTTCTCCTCCCCCTCCAACAACAAAAGCAAAAACAACAACTCTCAAATATGAGTAACACCTCACAGCATTGCTGCTATCAATACTACTACTACTACTACTACTACTACTACTACTACTACTACTACTACTACCACTACTACTACTACTACTACTACTACTACCACTACTACTACTACTACTACTACTACTCCTATTTCCATACCTGCCCTTGTTTTCTTGGAATTATCGTGACATTCTCATCCACATCTGAAAGCAAGTGATTTTACAAATAAGTAAATAATTGACGACTAATTGACGACTTTCAAGGTCTTCTTTTGGAGCGAATAGTTGTAAAGTGTTACACATCGCACCGAGTGCCGTTTAAATTTTTTGATCTTGGCTAGAAAAATCACATGGAAAAATTGCCTGTGAGACGGTTTCCCCCTCAAAAATAGAAAAGTTAGCCTCTGTAAATAAATCTCTCTATGTCACAGAGTACAACACAGCAGTTTTTGCTAAACTCCTCCCATAAAGCGTTTCATGGGTTGCCATTTCTTTCCATACATTACCTATAAACTGGGAACGAGAACGATAAAGTTATTCTAATTTATCATTTTCAGTTTTAGCTTTCACATCATTAACCAGGCGTTTTCACGCACCGGTTTTGGTTGCTTTTTTTTGGGTGACCGTTTGGATTTAGGAAGGCTAATGTTTCACACATTTTCATTCCATACTTCATAATACATGTTTTAATTGTTCATCACACACTTTTGAATCTGCAATCAATTTTCTTCACATATATGTTTAGTTATAGAAAATAATATGATTTTTTTGTCGGACATATAGCAGATTAGAAAATTTCTAAGTTCGGTCAACGACTATGTGAGCAGATATCAAGATGTGAGACATATTGAGGAGAACAATATTGTATGGTCAGAAACTACGTTATTAGGCATACGATTGGTTTGGGTTTTCCAAAGAGTGGGAAGATATTCGACATTGCGACTTCTCAGGAGTGCCAAATAGCAGGAGATTGACTGTATTTCGGTCTAGACGTTGGTCTTCGCCTTTTTTAATTATTCGCCTCCTCTAATAAGATAAATGATTGGTTTCAATTTGTCAGTCGGCCGTTTTTCAATCCTTATCGTCTGAGGATAACCGATATCGTTGGTAAATATTTTAGATTGGCCAGAGTTCCAATTTTTCTATTCACCGACAACAGTTCAGCATTATCGCTGACAACCCTCTAGACACAAACAAAGTGAACGTCGTCAGTTGATCGGGTCTTTGTCCAATGAAACAAGTGGGCCATGAACTCACTGAAGTGTGATAAATGTTTCTTAATTTTCTAAAATATTTTCGCCTGTTCCCCGAGCATGGCAATTTGTTTGCGAACGTTTCTCATCGCCAGCCAACATGACATCTGCCGCGCCTAAGAAGTGACGGTGTTCCGGTTCGACTCGTTTGATTTTAGATGTTCTTGTTCAGCGATTGCTCCTATCTCTTTTGTTTTCACTGTGTTCAACCCGTCTTGCTGTTGAAGCAGCCCAAAGGAAGAGTTGAGGAATTGTCCTCTCTTCTTGATTGCGGTTTTTGGTCCGTTCTCGGGTCACGACGTGACCTTTTATCGCGTCATTTGATCCACGGGTTGCATTGGTTACGAGAACCCGAATTCAATACATTGTCAACAATGAACAAAACGCTTTGGTCCGCCCAATGGACTCCACAATGCAACTCTTGTTTTAGTATTGTTGTTTCATTTAACAGCGGTATGAATTCTCTCCAAGTGGTCACAGTTGTGGTCAGATTTGAACTGGAACATTAGTCAGCTTAGAGGCATCGGAACCGTTGTCGTTTTCTAATGAGTTTATTTTTAACTACAAGGGATATAAATTATATGGCTTCGTTCTCAATAACCATAATGTTTTACTGAATTGCCTCCACCGCGAATGATCACTAGGAACTGAAAATTTGAACAGTGCGTTGTTATTTACACCTCAATAATGACACTTTTACTACAGCATGAGCATCAAAACATTGTTTGTGTTGTTTTTCCCTGTCCACGGTGTATTCAGGTGGATGGAGTTTGTTTTCCTGGAATCACCCCGTTAGACAGCACGTCAAGAACAACCGCCCTAGCTTCGGATGCTAGTCCGGTCGTTCCGGCTGTGTCGAGCACTCTGACGCAAATACTTCCGGCTGTAAGTTTATTCTGATGATTTATGTGTGTATATGCCTACTTCCTCGCTTATTATTATCACATGCTCGTGACGAACACGTGGATTTAACTTTATGAATCCGTTGGCAAATATTCTCCACATTAATCTGGGAACCAAAACCGGTTAGACAGCATTTGGTAATTTTATAACAAATAAATCTGAATAACAGATGTCAAGCGGAGGCCCACATTCATTGAGCCAATGTCTACGTTCAGATTTTTCCGACTGGACTATCAGAATCCTCGATAGTACATTCTCATGACAAGGTTGGTTCACTTTGGGGGCGAACCAGAATATTGAGCATAAGCGGTTATCAAAAGGAGTGCTATGGACAGCGGCAGAAACCGGAGTTATTGACCAGTGCAGTGGCTGGGTTCAGTCGGACAGTCCCACAGGAAAGCTAAATGGAACGATAAACACAACGGGTTGGCAAATCAATGGTGGAGAAGGAAATATGAGACAGTACGATACACAACATGTAGACCGCATCGAACGGACAACCAATCGATGAGGGTTCCCACACCACAAAATCAGAACACATGTTTATTGCCCTAGCATCCGATGATAATATTGATCGTGATTCAAAAGTGACCCCTTTGGTTCGCATTTTAACTGGTATAACGAACGTCCAAGGAGGAACTCATAGTGAACCGACAGAGCATCTGATTGGTTGTATCAAATCCCATTCACTGAAAACGGTGAAGAATGAGGATACTTAGAACAAAAGGAAAGTGTAATGTTTTTGCCCGACAGTAACCATGAGGGTAAATCAAGGCTTCATGGGATGTACGCAAACCGATCGAAAAAGTAATGAATAAGCAAGCACAGTTTTACGGCGTAATTCGGTTAACGAAGAAGAAATTGCGGGTATTTGTTAGCTTGTGCAGCCGAATGATCTCCTAACAGAGTGCACTCATCCTCCGAATAGGCACCCCCAAAAGAGAGCGAGCCTATTTCTTCTCACACCAGTATCATTGAATTATACAGGCCCGTTAAGTGCAATCGGTTCCTGGCATTATTTACGGCACTGTGTATTGTATTGTATTGTATTGTATTGTATTGTATTGTATTGTATTGTATTGTATTGTGTATAAATTTTACAAGCACTGGAGCTCACATTTTAGTTAAAAAATCATACGCGCTAACCGTCACAACGTACATAATCAATGGGGGGAAAGTTTTTACAGGCATGGGAACATTTCATAAGACAAAGTTAAGACAAAGTTCACTCATTGTCCGCTCTTTGTTTATGAGTAGACGAGCAAGATACGGTATGGGTGGGTGAATTGTGGTATGCGTTATTTCGAGAATAAATTTGGCGGAATTGGGAGCGTGTTGAATGATGGGGATGACAAAGTGTCAGTTTTGCATGCAATGGATGGTCCGGATCCGTGAGAATCCTCTCGGCAAATTTCACACAGGAAGTTACGTGATACTCTGAAAGCTTTACAGCTAATTCATTCACAGGAATAGAAGCTACACGACTAATATTGATTAAACCGCGGTGTAAGACTGTGAAATCCTGTTTGAGTAAACCAGGAAAAATAACTGGGGAACAGTAGATGGAGAAAATACATTGATAAACAAAAGTAGAAATAACTGACTGGAATGCATAAAATTGCCTTAGCTTTCGTGTTTGAAATGAAAGGCGCCGCAGTTTACCAACGCGGTTGTGGATGTAGGTTGACCAATGAAGATTGCTATCTATGGTTACACCAAGTTGTTTGACAGAGTTCACCCTGGATAAAGGATTGTTATTAATCACTATGGGGTTTGTCGGATATGGAGAGCGAGCAAAACTATATAAACACTCAACACATTTACTGGGGTTCAGGGTTAGCCTCGATGATGAGGAGAACGACTGAATTTGATCAAGATTATCTGTGAAAGAGCGTAGATCAGAGTAAGAAGAAATGGGTTGGTACAACACGACATCATCTGCATATTTCAAAATTAGTGCGGGAGAAACACTGGGAATATCGCAAATATAAGTGGAAAATAGATAAGAGGATAGCACAGCTCCTTGAAGAGCCCTGGAGTTGTTGACTAAGGATTTCGATGTGACCTTCCCTAATTTAGTGGTTTGTACCCTATCGGTAAAATAGTTGGACAGCCAAGCTAACAAGTGCCTCGGGCATTCAAACCATTTCAGTTTTTGTAACAACTTAGATCGGGGAACGGAATCAAATGCAGAAGAGTAGTTTAGAAAAACATACCGAACAGACTTAACAGAGATTTAGTGATGAAATGAATAAGGATGGAGACTGCGTCCTAGGTGGATCTACTCGGCTTGTAAGAAAACTGTAATGGATCACTGGGAATGTTAATTGACTACTGAAGGCGTTTGAGGATCGCATTTTCAGTCAATTTAAGAGCTGAAGATGTTAATGCTATGGGACGAAAACGTTTGGAGAGGATAGAAGATTTGGATGCTTTGGGGATTGGTATGATTGTGACCGGCCTGCAACAGTCGGGGATAGTAGAAGTGTGAAGAGATTCATTTACAATGGAGGTAATTGCCCCAGCTAGGGAAGCAGCAACAAATTTGAAGAGGACTGGATGTAAGTCATCCGGGCCAGCAGCAGAAGACGATTTGCAACTTTTTAAAAGTTTTAACACACCACAATATGATAGTGGCTCTACGTTACAAACATTTTGAGAAGAGTAGGTAGGAAGAATGTCTAATGACTGGCGCAGAAATGCGGCATTGAGATCATCAGCATCCACATCTACGTTCGACCGTACGTTCTTCCTTCCACAGAGAAGTTTTATATCTTGCCGCAGGTGTTTGCTGTTTCCAGTCCTCAGAATTCGATCAGTGAATAATGCGTTCAATCTATTTACTTTAGCTTTGATAAGCTTGGACAAATACCTAACAGCTGAAGCATTGTGAGACTTGTACGCACCTTCCTTTTGTCGTCGCAACGACCTTAGTAGGGGAGAGTTTATCTTTCCGTTGGAAACATAGAGCCTTTGAACAGGACAGCAGTAATTAAAAATGGCATTGATTGTTTGGGTGAATAGAGGGACATATGTGAACAGAGAAGAAGATGATGAAAACCATCGGGGGGCCTGTCTGAGAGATTCATTCAGGCGAGAAGCACGTGTAGGTGAGAAGTTACGAAAACGAAGTCTGATTTGCTCAGATCGGGAGAAAGATTTGTATGCACTGTGTGTATAAGATTTAGGTCGAACTAAGAGTAAGCAGTGGTCACTGGAAGAAATAGGAGCTTTTAGTGCTAAAGAAAAGGGGGTTGGGTGGTTGGTATAACTCTCTTCCAGTATAGAGTTACCTCTTGTGGGAGTACTGACAGAGATCTGTCATACCCAATGATAAAAGTGGATACGTGCTAGTATGGTTGAAGTCAAGTGCCTAGTATGGTTGAAGTCACCAACGATTATGTGCAGATTAACATCGAAAAGTGGGGCAATAAAAGGTATGAACGAGTCGAAAAATGACAGGAGGGAGCTATATACAAGTTAGTCAAAATTGTGTGAGTAAAACGGGAAAATCTAGGGTGACACTGTATAGTTAGATACTCGATACCTTTTGAGCAGTGCTGATAACCAACATGGGACTTGCCACACCAGGAAACGTTGACATATGTGGCAACACCCCCTCCGGCCTGTTTTCCTCCGGTTCCACGATCCTGCCGGTAAACTTGAAAACCGCCTATTGACACTAGAGAGTTATCTACGTCCTTATCCAACCAGGATTCTTGAACACAGACTGCACACGTGTTCGTATGAATTCTTGATCGGAGGACGCTAGTTACATCCGACATTTTGGGAAACAGAGATCGAGTGTTGGTGCTGACCATTGAGGGGACAGTCATCTTTGAAAGAGGGGTGCAATTAAGGGCAACTTGCCATCCTGCACGCCTGCGTTTTTTGGTCCAGCCGGGATAGTGAGAAAATGGAGTCGCACAAACCGCTGAACCATTCAAGCATGTCCTGGCACGTTTGAAACAAATAATATCATCCCGTGAGTAACGACCGCGCATGACAGTGAGTGAAAAGGTGAAAATTCCCACAACATAACGGAGAGCATGTAAGTGCAGCGCAGCCAATCGAAGGGTGCGCGTTGAATTTATTTTAGTGCATCATTGTTTGTGTCCCGGATGTGGCTCAAACAATTAGTTTTGTATCACAAACACCCAGTTCTTCCTCCCACGGATAAATCAATGAGGCAGCGCGATCGCTTGATTGCTCATACGTCATACAATCGTACCACCTCTATAAATACATTAAACGATCGCATGGTGCCGAATACTACTTGCTTCAGACGATTTGATAGGTTAGATATTGTTGTTTGTAGGACCTCTGTTCGTTAAGTGCAATACCCACACCATCACAACCACCAAAGGCTGTTTAAGGCTACTGGTTATTCGCGGTCATGCAATCCTGTTATGAATAGTGTATGGAGGAGGAGCCAGCGCTAAAAGTTAGCGTCACACATGAAGCCAGTAGATGTACGTTCCTGACGGCCAATAGGAAGGGAACAATTGGAGCTAATAAACTCAATTGTGGTGCAGTTGAAACCGTACTTTTTCAACTTCAAGTTGTAACTTCAAGTGAATCCAAACAATCGCATTCTAATAGGAACCCAACAGTGATTGCTTATTCTGCCGTCACATTTGACCTATTGTACCGGGTCTATTAAAACCCCGTCCAGTCGGAGTGAACTGATTTCCCCATAGAGTAACAAAAGTACTTTTTGAGTGATCTACTGAGCGAGGATGAAAGTTTCGGTGGGGTGAGGGTTGCTTGTTTATCACCCCCTGCCCTAGACTGAACCCACTTGTGTAATGATTCATTCCGTCATTCACGCTTGAGCATAGTGACTGATTTATCGATCCATTTTGATGTGATTTGCTTCCTTATTCAGCCAACCGAGACCAATTACCAACGAGTTTGTTCATTCTCGTCCAAAGTTCACACGACCAACGGTCAAGAACATAACGTACTCGGGTGGGGCGGGGGAGGGGACGAACAGTCACACTCCACCCCACTGTAACTTTAATCCTCACTCGATAAATCACTTAAAAAGTACTTTTGTTTCTCTACGGGGAAATCAGTTCACTCCGACTGGACGGGGTTTTGATAGACCCGGTACAATAGGTCAGATGTGACAGCAGAATAAGCAATCACTTTGTTGTATTCCTATTAGAATGAGATTGGCTGGATTCACTTGAAGTTGGAAAAGTATTGAACGGCCAGGGAGTCATCCTCGTTACACGTTCGCCACTGCGGGTTAGTTCAACCATAGTCACTGTGCTGTTACTCTATGGAGTATTTTATCCTATAGATCAATACAGTAGCAGTGAGCTAAATCACGAAAATTGATCGGACGCTTTAAGTGCTACAAACTTCCAGGAGTTAGACTCTTAGAGCAGAGCGAGATAGCGAGCTCAGTACTGGACCCATCCCTTTTGATCAAGGAATATACAGGTGTGATTGATTGTGTTGCCATTTGACGACCGCTTCTTCCCTTAATACATTTGAAGGTTTCAAATGTAGGTTATCCAAGATGACCATTGTCATCGTTACGGCGGTATCGCCTATGCAGTTTTCATTCGAGAGAACACATACAGGCCAAACAGGAGGCTCGGTAACATCGTTGCTTTTGAGGTTTAGCTGGATATAGATGGGCAATGGATACTACTAGATTTGAACGATGATAATACATGCTGTAACAGTGTAACTGGACTGCATGTGTTCACTGCATCATCAGGAATGAGAACAACGTGTATCGAGCTGACTTACGAGGCTTCGGAGGTTCGTAGAGCTGTTTACGAAACACATTTTGTTTGAAACCATTCATCGTTATTTGGAACCCGCGGAGCTCCAAGCGTCACCAGGAGAATTTGTAAAAAATATGCGTTTTTCTGCTGATTGCATAGACAAACTCATTCTCCGTAGAATTCGAATGGGATCTGGTCGTTTCGGACAACACAATAGCTCGTAATCAGTTCGGCCATATGTAAAAGCTTTTCTGCTTTGCTGACCAGGGCCATCGACACAAAATGTTCTTGACCTTGCGGTACGTGGGAACAAACATTTGAGGCGGATTATAGAATTCTAAACATGGTGTCCATCCTGATACGTTTGTATCCTGCGGCTTTGGTGACACTGTTATAATACTATTAAAGTGGAGCTGAATATTCAGATCACATGGTTTATATGTGCTTATTGTGCTACTGAATGCAGTAATACAGCATCCGCGTTCGAGAGAAGCTGGTTAGTGGAAAACAAGCCATACATAACTCTTACCAATCGACTACCCACCCAACATTTTCATAGCGCCCGGTGCAGTTTTCTGACACCTTTCCAGTGAACAACATGTATACTTTAGTGCCTGCTGACACTCATTGAATTCGTGTGTATCCCCTCTCCCCCCGAAGCAAGTTGTACATGAAGAATGGGGTAATTGCTGACCCATGTGATGTCGTAAGAGTGGAAATTTTCTTATTACTCCAATGTGCGCTCTTGAGAGCACTGCTCAGTTGCGAAAGCAAACGCTGATTGGATGGATTACTGCAAGCCAGCTAGCTTTATTGATGTATATTATTAATTCTATTTCGTTTCTCTCAATTAACCAATCACTTCATTCGTGATTTTATTTCTTTTTATCCATAATACAAAATCTGGTGACTCTTTATGGAGGATATTATATTCATTGAAAAACGGCTAAAGCCGTACTAACCGACTCTCTGCACATTCTTCCTCACCAACCAATCAGACTTCAGTGATAATATTTTGGCAATGAATCTACGTGTTTCCTTTTTCTTCTCTACCAGGGTTCTACAGGAACAAGCGGTGCCATTAGTTCTTTCTATCTGGCACAACAAGCCAGATCTGCCACGGCTTTCTGCTCGGTGAGTTAATGTATGATACAATGAACAGTCACCCCATGCAATTTGTTTCGTGTTTTCGTCTATCGGGCATTGGTTTCTTTGACCAAGAGTTTTTTTAATTAGACTGTTCATCCCTCATGTTGTATCTCCAGGGACACTCCATAGTTCATCCAGTCAACCAAACAACGGGGCACCGCAGACTCCAATTTGCAGTTATTGTTCCTCATGAGTAGTTCGTATCCAGAGGCCTAAATGGGATTATAATACTAGATTAGTCGCTTGGAAAGTGCGTTTCGCTGTTGTGTTAACTAGCTCTTACCGGCCTGACCAAAATTAACACTTCCATTGCATCTCCACTATCATCCAGTCAGTTCAGCCGCACAGAAATAAAGGGATAGTGTTGTGTGCGTGGACTACTGGCTCGTATACGCACGGAATTCAACCCCGTAATGATCCAGCCGAATACTAGTACTTGGAATGAAATCAAAACGCAGTTGGCAAAAACGAAGTCGTGTATTGTACTATGCAGCAAAACGTGAGTGTACAAATAAATTGGGTTCCATGAAGCAGACTAGTTCGTAGTCTACTTAGAAGCATCACAGCCGCCGTAGTTTGAATGCAGCTATGGTTCTCTTTAATCATGGCGGTCTTTGTTGCGCAAACGTTCAGAATTTCCTAGTAATTAGGTAATTTTTCAGTACTGGTACTTGAATGTAATTCATTCGATATACATATCATTGGCTTGCAACCAAGCATGATGTCACTCTATTAGCAATAATAACAATATGCAGGGGACCGAACATAGCTATTCAGCAATAACAGGATTAGTGAATTCTTAACTAGCTACAGCGTTAGCTGATGTATTGAAACACTCTTCTAACCAAGAGGGATAAGAATCGACAATCACTCGGGCGTAATACTTACCAAATAATAGTCACCAGTCCATTTGAAAGGTTGTGTATGAGCTTTGTGTATGAAGACAACACAGGATTTAGCAATACGATTCCAGTCATGATTTGATCCAGGCCACCAATATGTAAGACACACCAGAAACTTTATCTTTTCAATGCTAAGGTGACCGAAAAGTATATCATTTAACAAAGTTGTACAGACGGTGGTGGCCCCGGAGGACAAGTATTCGAATCCCACCACCACAGACTATCTTTCCCCATTAGTATGTTTTGTGCCAGCCCTCTGATTGGCCACTTCCCCCTTTCTGAAGATAGTATCATTGTGCAATCAATAGAAGAAGGTTAAAAATGACAAAGTAATTATGGAGGTGCAGTAATACGATTGCTGTAACAGAAGACACTATCGCACGTCACAGAAATCTCTTCATAACTTTTTTAAATCTCCGGAACTAGACGCTTGATATGTGCTCGTCAAACTCGACGGACACAGGAGAGGATAGCATGGTAATGCTTCCTGGCCTCGTGGACCAAACTAGATCAGCTGACTGGAAACAGTTGATTGAGTGGACAGTCGTTCGTGAAAGGCTCCTCCGAGAGGGCATAGCGTGATAGATAGCATGAGGAATGAACTATTCCCTCCTGATAGTGGATGTCGTGGGGGTATACAGATGACACAACAATCCATTGTTGTACTATGGCTGCAGTTGATTTCTCCGAGGAACTTTAGTAGATTGTACATGATCTGTAAGGTGTTATGACTAATCACAACGTCGAAGTGAGTATCAAAAAGATACTTTGCCTACACGCTACATCCCGTTAGGCAGCTAGCGCCTAAATTTGAGTTTCTGAATATCCGCATTCAGTAGCTGTTAGTCTGCGTGAGATGCACAGCACGAGGTAACCGTTCTTCGCCGACACAGCTCCGATACCCGTCGGTGATGCATACGGGATAACTGGACGATAGCGGTGGATGGATGAAAAAGAAAGTAGTTTCCTCAAAGTACGTTGATGGATCAAGTTCACACGAATGTTTGCTATGATTGCAAATCAAACAATCGGGCAGCTTGACCTCAAAAATTAGGAATAAACTTCGAATGAAACATCAAAGATTTATTTGGTGAAATTCTTCGAATAATTTGCGAGTTGTAGCATTAGATAATGAAGTAAACTGATCAGATTCAGGACAGAATCAACACTCATCAGCCGAACAGCCCAAAAAAGAAAATTTATTCATGGTAACGGTATCATTATAAGGGTTATTAGCAACATAATGAAAACAAAATCTTTCAAAAAAGCACAAAAACGTTCATCATGCAAACGTTTGTTACTTATTTTTGTTTTCCAAATATTGTCTATGCTGTTTTGTACACGTGGTTAACTTTAGTGCTTTCGGTGATTTTTCTGTCAACTGGAGCCCCGAAATTTAGTGAATACGGTTCGAACTGGATCATTCAAATAAGTTGCAGCCAAATTCGGTGCTTTTCGCAGTGCTCTTCGATCATATTTGCTGTATTTTTATTACACAACAATGTGTGATGAACAACAGACGGGGCGAAACCCACAGTTACGAAGATCTGCTTTTCAATGATGGTAACCTAAGACTCGGAACATGGAGTGGCGAACCATATAAGGTCCTTTGGGTTAGTCGTGGCACTGAACCGGACGACAGGAAAGCTGCGACCACCTAAGTTAGGCGGTGATGGCGGGGTTCGAACCTTGGACCATAGGGTCCAAAGCACGCCGGTGACAGCGAATAAACCACTGCGCCAACACCACCGTCCAAAGTGTACTGCACGAACTGCCTTCAGCGCCTTCCCCTTTTCTGCTATACATCTCGCGAACGCCCATACGCGGTATCTGATATACTTTTGTCTTGGGTAAGCATTAGTTTAATCTTGCGCGGAGTTTTGCATTTAGACTCATGGACATTAATGGTATTCCGGATAATGTAGCTGGATGACGTTAAAGGATCCTGGTAAATTCCTGGACACCAACAAAACGGTGGATCAAATTGTTAAAAAAAATCTGGGATAAATAAACCATGGATATAGTTATTGTCTTAATTGATGCTTCACATTATGTGTTTTCAAGCGAATTTCCTGTCACGAATAGTTTGTGAACGAAGCTCACCCAGTCAGTGGAACTGAAGTGCGAAGTGGGATAGTTTGTTCACGTGAACCATAGAAAGCAACATTGACACGGTCGACGAGGGATGAATACAAGCAGAATAGTCGGAAAAATTACGGATCAAGGACAAGTGTTCTGAAAATTTTAAAGAATCAAACCTATTATAAATCACAGAAGAGGCGTGAAGTAAACAGAACAGTCTGTCGGAAGAGCTAAAAGCCAACTTTCACGTTCGCATTCAACCAAATCACAGAAGCATAAAAGTTGAAGAGGCGCATGCAACCGACTATTAGTACTCGCTCTGCATAGCAAAATACATAGTGTCCATGATATTGAACGTCATATTGCAGACCTAGTTTATTAGGTAAAATATCACATCAGATGGAAGGCTGAATGAAATTATCTGATTTCTGAGGATAAAACTATCTCAAACTGGATTTCCTTCCCCGAGCTTTCGACTTTTGTCTACCGATGGTCTAGGAGTGCTAAACCAATAAACTATGGTGTAGCAAATTTTGGTTTATGGGTCAAATGACAGCCAATCTGAGAAAAAATGACGTGACTCCTACTTGACATTTCATTTCCACATGGAACATTCGTCTATCTTCCTTGTTGTTTTATTTATTTTTTGATCGACCAACCGGGTCTCAATGAACAATTGCCAGAATGCCTACACAAACCTGACAGCCTGTCAACTGTTGGCAAATCTATGCACGTTACAATTACAAACACGGTATCAGTTACAACTGTCTTCATACAGTACATGCGCGGAATTCGAACGATTGAAAGCCGAACGGACCTCAACGCGGACTGGATTTACAAATTGGTAGGTTGGCGGGTCATGCACATCACATCTCACGTGATTTTGTAATATTTAAAGAGGTTCATCAAATTGACCGCTTTTGTTCAAGAAAATTAGTGTGCTCCTACCACAAATCATTTGAGAGTCACATACGCTGACCACCGTTTTCACACAACCCCTTAGGACTGCAGTAGTGTTTTATTCTGATGCGAAGTCCAACTATCTGACGACTTCGGGATAAACAACCAGCGTATGATCGCCACGTGCACGGCCAAACACCACCTGATTGGATGAGCAACGAGCCGGTCAAACACACAAACAGCCGACTGATCAATCCTCCTAACCAAAATCTGAATGACCCGTTGGTTTTCTTCGATTTTGCATTATTACCTTGCTGTTTGCATGTATTCATCCTCTGACAATAACTCACTTGACCCGAGCGATTCCGTTGTTCCCTCTTGCTCTTACTGAGTCATGCCAAGCTGGTGGTGAATGATGTGTTTGCATTATGTGTTGAATTATTTGCTTCATCGGTATGTGTAACATAAAACAATGAACCTTGATGTTTCGACTTTTGCCAAGTGTTTGTACATTTTAATCAAAACAAATCTAGCTCATTACTGGCACAATTCATCTTGTATGCTTTTGCAGCGTTCGTTTTACCCGAGACAAATAGTAGTTATAGGAAAAGGTCTAGACAGGGGACGATTATGTAAAAACCGTGATCACGGGNCAAGTAGGTCGCCTCAGACTTCCTGGTTCGGGACGTTAGGACAGACCCAACCAATGGTTAAAAGCATTGGGTAATATAGCTAATTGTCACTGAAAGTGGGACTCACGCATCTCATGAATTTTTGTGCAAATTCGGTATGGTGACCTGGGCACCGATTTCAGCAATGTAATCTCTCCGTTGTACTCGTCAGCCAAATGGGTATCCGAACGTGTAAGACTTCAGTAGTTGAGCTGCAATTCTCAATTGCAACTTTCACACAGATCAATTATGACATGAACGTACTGAATGGATCTAGTAATAAGAGTAGACTTTGTAACAAGTTAACTACCCACATTGTCAGATTGTCAACAGATTTTACCTGAAACTCTACATTATCATTATTTTCCTGTCAAAAAATTTAAACAATGAGAGTGAGGATGTGCACAACTCATCCGAAATCATTTCACTGCATCTGTATACATGCATAAGGCAGTTCACATAATTGTTTATATGAGCAGATAACCCATTTGGATGTGTGCGTGTGTCTGTGTTAAAACTGTACGAGGCAACAACTATTCACAGACATTCATCTCAATGCACTTTCGGAAGAGAACAGTAATCGCCTGGCCCACGCGTTCAGTCAGATCACGCACGCGATTGAAACATGGATCTATTTGCTGAACTTTCCAGTTTTGAAAGTCATTCGTTAAAAAACACTTTGCCTCTTCTCAGGTGGAATTCAATTGCGTTTACCAGTTCCGGAGAGTAAATAATAGGCCATTCACATTGCTAGAATGTTTTGGCTTTGGAAATCAACGAGCTTAAAATCTAGAATTAAGGCGCCATTTACCAAAGGCATAAGCATGAAGTCGTCGAATGCGTGATTTCTTTAGCATCTGAAACCATTGCAAAAACTTTGTTCCCCTGAAAATAGACCGGTAAACAATTCTTAGAATCGTTGCGCATAAATCTCAACCGATCAAGAAATCATGGGCTTTTACGAAGCCACTTAATCCAAACAGATTGTCCGATGAACAAATGGAAATTTCTTTTATAGTTACAGGACATAATACCACTTATCTAGTAAAACGCACAATCATCCTGGAAAAACTATTCAGTGCAACTCTAAAGAAGGTTTCCGCAGATCGGTACATTCCTACCACGCTGCAGCGCTAGTCATCTACTCCTATTTCCCAGAATTGTAATCGCGGCGAGAATAACTAGTCAGTTCAACTCGACCTCAGTTACCGCCGTATTAGCTACTCACTTTTCATTTCTATCACGCTTTGTGTGTGCCTGCCCGTCGTTTGCCTCTCAGTGATTTGCTCAGACGGGCTGAATAAGTTTTGAAGAAACGTTGCGGCTCTTCGTAATCATTTGTTTTTCACTTGGTCTTGTTCTGTAGCCCAGTCTCATCCTACATCATCATCATCATAGTTGTCACAATGGCAATATGCTGGTGACATATACATATACATTCCATTTTTATCAGCTTAAACAACTCTTGCCCTTAATCTTTTCGTTTTCATCACCATCATCATCATCATCGTCATCATCATCATCCGATTCATCATTATCATTATTACCACCAAGGTTATCTTACAGGATATCATACACTTATATCGCTCTCTCTCTCTTGCTTTTGTACAACCTGCTATCTAAAGGGCTTCGGATATGCCTTGGATCTACTATAATCCCACCAAAGGCTCTACCGCACTTCGTGAAACTTCCATCACCAACGTATACACTCCGAATAGCTTACTGGACGTTCGATTGGTCACATTTTCATTGGACGGTCAATTTCTCGGATTGACTAGTGCTGTGACCGGGGGTGATTTGCAACTGTGCAAAGATACGGTCCAACGGATGCAAGCAGCTTACGAATTTGGGACGGCCTACCGACAAGAGGTAAGAGCAGTTTCTGTGGATATTGTCTTCAGACCGGGGTGAACTCTGTGTGCTATTGATTGTAGCGTGTCACTCTGGTTTCGCTGACGGCAAACTGATACTGCACGAGGAATTTGTTTCCCAAAAAATTCAACGTCTGATTTCCCGCGACGCTGTATTTGTTTAACTTGTGTAAGCTTATTTGCTTTCATTTCAGCACAACGAATAAAATATACAATTTCATACCAAATTTGATGTGAAGAATTTCACTGATGTTTGTTTTCTATTTATGTGTTCTCTAAAAGGAACTCAGGAACCTCAAGTAAAAGGATTTCAGAATATTCCCATTTTAACATGAGAACACGAATTTAAAGGCGAAGAATCCTTTTCATTGATTCATCTTCTGTACAGATCAGATAGAAAAATAGCATTTTGAACGAGGATAATCATTCAGTCTTTCAAAAGTCACGGTGATTGATTGAAAGAGAGAGGAATGGGGTGCGACGTGCTTCACGCCCCTAGATCACCACAACACT